CCAAAAACAATCTACAGATTCAATGCAATTCCTAACAAAATCCCAGCACAATTCTTCACAGACTTTGAAAGAACAGTTCTCAACTTTATACGGAAAAACAAAAGGCCAGAATAGCTAAAACAGCCCTGTACAATAAAAGAACGTCCAGAGGCATCACTATCTCTGACTTCAAGCTCATTATAGAGCTATAGTCCTGAAAACAGCTTGGTATTGGCACAAAAATAGACAGGTAGACCAATGGAATCGAATTGAACACCCTGATGTTAACTCACACATCTACGAACACCTGATTTTTGACAAAGAAGCTAAAATATATAATGGAAAAAAGAAAGCATCTTCAACAAATAGTGCTGGCATAACTGGATGCTGGCATGTAGAAGGCTGCAGATAGATCCATGTCTATCACCATGCACAAAACTTAAGTCCAAATGGATCAAAGACCTCAACATAAATCCAGCCACACTGAACCTCTTAGAAGAGAAAGTGGGAGGTTCCCTTGAACAAATTCATACAGGAGACTGCTTTTTTAACATAACACCAGTAGCACAGACACTGAGGTCAACAATAAATGAGACCTCCTGAAACTGAGAAGCTTATGTAAGGCAAAGGACAGTCAACAAAACAAAATGGCAGCCCACAGAATGGGAAAAGGTATTCACCAACCTCACATTTGACAGAGGGTTGATCTCCAAAATATACAAATAACTCAAGAAGCTAGTCACCAAAACACCAAATAAACCAATTAAAAAGTAGGGTTCAGAACTAAACAGAGAATTCTCAATAGAGGAGTCTAAAATGGCTGAGAGACACATAAGTAAGTGCTCAACATCCTTAGCCATCAGGGAAATGCTAAAATAAAAAGCACCAATGACAGTTTATGCTGGAGAGGATGTGGAGAAAGGGGAACACTCCTCCACTGCTGGTGGGAGTGCAAACTCTTGTACAGCTACTTTGGAAATCAGTATACAGTTCCTAGGAAACAAGACCCAGCAATTCAACTCTTAGGCATATACCAAAAGATGCCCATTCATACAACAAGGACATCTGTTCAACCATGTTCATAGCAGCATTATTTGTAATAGCCAGAACCTGGAAGCAACCTAGGTGCCCTCAACTGAAGAATGAATGGAGAAAATGTGGTACATTTACATAATGGAGTACTGCTCAGCGGAAAAAAAATGGAATCTTGAAATTTGCAGGCAAATGAATGAAACTAGAAGAAACCATTGTGAGTGGGGTAACCCAGTCACAAAAAAACAAAAAATGGTATGTACCCACTCATATATGGATTTTAAACATAGAGCAAAGGAATACCAGGCTACAATCCACACCGCCAGAGAAGCTAGAAAACAAGGAGGACCCTAAGAGAGACAGACATACATGGTCTCCCAGAGAAGGGGAAAGGGACAAGATCTCCTGAGCTATTGGGAGCATGTGGGGAGGAGAGAGGGAGTTAGAGGAGAGGAGAGGAGGACATGAGGGAGCAGGAAGATCAAGTCAGTGGAAGAACAGAGGAAAGCAAGAAAAGAGATACCATAACAGAGAGAGAGCCATTATAGGTTTAAAGAGAAATCTGGCACTAGGGAAATGTCCAGAGATCTACAAGGTTGACCCCAACTAAAAATCTAAGCAATTGATGACTACCTTATATGCCATCCTAAAGCCTTCATCCAGTAGTTGATGGAAGCAGAAGCAAACACCCACCGCTAAATACTGAGCTGAACTCTGGAATCCAGTTCCATAGAGGGAGGAGTGATGAGCAATGGGGCCCAAAGACCAGGCTGGAGAAACCCACAGAAACAGTTGACCTGAACAAGGGGTTGCTCATGGACCCCAGACTGATAGCTGGGAAACCAGCATAGGACTGATCCAGACACCCTGAACACGTGGGTCAGTTAGGAGGTCTGGGTAATCTATGGGGCCTCTGGTAGTGTATCAGTATTTATCCCTAGTACACAAATGGACTTTGGGAGCCCACTCCACATAGAGGGAGACTCTCTCAGCCTAGACGCATGGGGGAGGGTCTAGGCTCTGCTCCAAATGACATGACAGACTTTGAAGATCACCTATGGAAGGCCACACCCTCCCTGGGGAGCAAAAAGGGGATGGAATAGGGGGTTGGTGGGGGAGGCAAGGGAGGAGAGGAGGGAGAGGGAACTGGGATTGACATGTAAAGGAAGCTTGTTTCTAATTTAAATTTAAAAATGAAAAAAGAATACAAGTAAAAAACAAACAAAAAACCCAGAGCAGCTCAACAACTGGTTGGTTTTGACTCAAAGTTGTTCATGAGGTTGCAGCCAAGATGAAGCCTGTTGGCCATTTTGAACTCCGAGGAAGATGAAGTAGCCTAGAAGGGTGAAGGGTCACTGGCACGGTGGAGTGTGTTGAACTTTCTCATCTACCTGAACAAGAAGCAAACTCCCACCCTGCTTCAGTCACGGTTTCTTAGAGTAAGCTCTTTGTTTGTTTGTTTACATAGGGTCTCCTTTTATCCCCTATGCCCACCTGGAACTGATAGTCTCCCTGTCTCAGCCTCCCTATAACCCCTGAGATTTTAGGTAGATGTCACCACATAACCCCTGGAGTAGGATTTCAAATGGAGGAAATAATGGAAGGGCATCCTTGGGGGGTGGGCTAGTGTATGGAAAGACCGAGAGAAACAAGACCCTGTCTCCATCTTTAGCTAGTGATGACAGAAAAATGAATTACAGCCCGCAATAGCCTTACTGCTGTGGTGGAAACTTGTGGGATTTTAGACTCTCTCACAGGACTTTTCCCCCAGAATCTAGGGCAGGGAGCCTTGTGTTCTTAGCAGAGCTGGCTGCTCCCTAGCTGCTTGGGGAAGGTAGTGATTGTTTCTTTTTCACTCTTTGGAGCTGATTAGTGTCCATCTCTCTTCTCCCTAGGGGGAATCATTGGGTGTCTTCAGGCCCCCTTCCACATGAACAAGGAAGCTCCTGTTAAACTGTGACTAACAACAGGCTGGGCGGGATGGAGGTTCACCTAATCTAACCTGGTGGTCATCAGGCCATGTTATCTCTGTTGAGGCCCCTGGGTCCTCGAGTAAACATATCCTCAAATGGGGGGACTCACTATCCTGCCGTGCTGCTAAGAGTGTGTAGTTGCTAAGAGACAGCAGCTTTCTCTGTGTCAGATGACAGGGCCTTGGGTCAATTCCTTAACCCCCTAGGGCCAATCTAATCTCCTCTTCTGCTTGCAGGAGTCTGCAGGAGGTGGTTAACTGCCTGCCAAGGTGCAGGGTCATGGCAAATGGTGCTTTCTTTTCATTTTGGGTATATTTTTATTATGCAAATGAGCGCTTTTGTTTGCATGTATGTCTGAATGCCACACATATACCCGTTGCCCTCAGAGGTTAGAAAGGGGCATCAGAGCCCTTGAGCTGGAGTTACGAGTGACTGTTAACTTCCATGTGGGTGCTGGGAACCAAACCCAGGTCCTCTACAAGAGAAGCAAGCATTCATAATTGCAGTCTTTTCAGCCCATGCTTGCCTAGTTAGCGCATGACTAACAGGTTTCATTATGGCGTTTTATACATGTGTTGTTTTGGTTGATGCTTCCCTACTCCCCCACTTTAACAAGTGCTCCGTTACCCTCACCCACCTCCTCAGCTCCCTCTTCCCCTGTCAGGGGCCCCTTTCTAGTTTCCTGCCCCCCTCCCAGTCATCCCACATAAATACTATGTTTACATAACTGTGGCAGGTCACACTTTTAATACAGCCCTTGAGAAGCAGAGACAAGAAGATCTATTTGAGTTCAAGGTCAGCCTAGTCTACACAGGGAGTTCCAGGATAGCCAGAATCCCAGAGACCCTGTCTCAAAAACAAATACCAAATAAGTAAAAATTAGAAGCTAAAACATATTGGAGAGAACATATAGTGTTTATCTTCTTGACTCTTGGTCACTTAATTTAATATTTTATAGTTCCATCCACTTTCTTGCAAATTTTATAAACTTTTGTTGCGTGTGGCTGAGATTCCACTTTATATATGCCACATTTTCTTTATTGGTCCGTTCTTTGGTGGGCATCTAGGCTGATTCCATTTCCCTGCTGCAATGAATAGTGAAACAGCAAGCACTTTTGAGTGTCTCTGTGGGGCCAGGGTGACGGATGGTTCAGTGTGTCAAAGTCCTGGCTGCCAAGATTGGTTACTTGAGTTCAATCTTTGGGATCCACATGGTGGAAGCAAAGAACCGACTCTTGTCTTCTCACCTCTACATGGGCTTTGTGGGATGTACATGTGTCCCCTCGCTCAGTAAATAAATATAATAAAAATGATTTTAAAAAGGGTCTCTGTGGTATGCTGGCTCAGTCATACAGCGGTGCTGTTTTCGGTGAGAGATACTGCCTAAAAACATGAGGTGGGGAGCAATAGAAGACAACACCTGGAGTCAACCTCAGGTCTCCAAATGCACACATGCACCCCAGATGTGTCCACAACACGTGCAACATGCACGCGTGCACGAGGGAGAGTGAATTTAAAGACAGTCACAATTAAGCTGAAGCCCTTTAAAGTGTGTGGTGGGACACAGAGAGGTGACAGAGCTCCCACTCGGGAAGGGTCTGGACGCCATCCCAGCTAGTCTAGGTGCACCACAAGCTCGACTTTTTTTTTTTATCCATTTCCAACCACTGTAATTAAAATCTCCAACTTCTCATCTGTTTTTTTTGAAGTTTATTTTTCTCAATATGCAAATAGAATGGTTTCCAATGGCTGTTATTCTGGTGTAATTCTTTCCAACCCTCCCTAAAACAAACAAAATCCCACATCTGTATCTATGAAATGGTGGATGGAAGGTCTATCAGGACAGATAACCTGTGCTTGTTTATTGTATGACCGTGTACAGGGTTTTCATATATTGTATCATAATACTGACTGCTAGGTTTCTCATAAAGGTTTAGTTTCATATTTTACTTGTTTGTTTTCTTCACAATAAAAGTAAACTCATGCCAGTGTTTAGGAACCAATAACAGTAATTCATTCAAATTTAATGACAGTTTTATTAAACTAAGAATCTCATATCACAGAGCATTCACAGTGCAGGAGGTCACAGTTATTGAAAAAATAAATAGCGGCATAAATATATTTATTATTTACAGCTTTCCAACCCTTGCTCCTGCTCTGCCTGTTAGGGAAAGAACAAAGACGATGATGAGCAGCCCAGCACGCTACAGATGCCTTGTGGGTACTCGGCGGCGGCATGTGGATGGCCTCAGAAGTTCTTGGTTTGGAGTGTTTCTAAGGAGGCTCTTTCAAGATTCAAGAATCCTCTGTTTTCATCTGCCTGTGACCTGGTATGCCAAGGCTGTGTTGAGAAAAGGTCCAAATCCCCTCCCCAGGGGTGGGGACTGTGTCCAGCCTGGTACTTGGCATCTTGGATGTTCCTGGCCTCCTCACGCCCAGCTTGCCTTGGCAGTCCTACCTCTGCCCCTGGATCTGGTGTGCCTGGCTGGCAGGCTTCTGTTGCCTCTGTGTAATCAAAGCTGTCTTTGTATCAAACATCAGGAAGGACTTTGGAGATGTGGGGGAGGGCAGTGCCAGGAGTGAGTGCTCTGAATGGGACATCCAGCCTCACAGACTGGCAGCCAATCCTCTACAGACTGGAGATCCCCCAAAGTCAGCCACAGTGGATCTGCCACAGCTTTGTCTACCTGGTCCCCAAATGAACTTGGTGCAGGTCAGATGGAAGAAGCCAGAGCATAGTCACAGGGTCCACGGCTCAGAGGGGTAGAGGCTCAAAGTGAGGCAGGACAACCAGCAGCTAGAACATCTCCCCCCCCCCCCAACCGAGCACTTCACTTAGTGAACAGAGCGTCACTGTCTCGGTCCCAGGCATGTTCAGAAGTAGGAGAAGTCCTCCTATTGGAAGAGGACTATGTGTTTCCCCAGAGTGGACCCCAAAACTTCCCTGTTGGGAATTCTAGAGTGATGAAAGGCAAATGCTGTCTTGGACCCTTCCTTAGTAGGCAAAAGCTGATCATACCAAACCAAAAGTGACATGGCCTCTTCTTTTAATAGCTAAAATAATAACAGATTAACTTGTTTTCTAAGGATGGAATAGGGAAGGCCCAGGCTCTCTCCAGGATTAAGAATTTTCTTGAACTCATGGATGGAAAAGTCCTGACCAGCATTGTGCCTAAGCAGCCACTGCTTGGATTATGGCAGTACCATGGGAAGAGATATGGGTCATGCTGGCATCTATCCTGGATTTTAACAAGGAGTAGGCAAGCCTTGGCCCTGTCAATGTAACGGATAGACAAGACACACAGCCACAGCCTTGACCTTCACAGAAGTAGACTGTGTTCTCAACACTAGACGCTTCCCAGAGTCCCAGGTCTACACCAGGGCACATTAGAGGAGATTCTATTTCAGCCCTGCTGCAGGGAGTGGAGGAAGCTATACCACTTGGACAACTGGACAGGAAACAGTGGGGTTGAAGACACCTCAACAGGGAGCCCTGACTCCTAGCAGTGCATGTGTGGGTATGGGGGTGTGTGGTGGTATTTGAGGATTCAGCAGAGGTACATGGAAACTGGAAAGCAAAGATGGTTGAAAAGCTAAAATGCTTAACCCCCACCCCCACCTGCCACCACTGCCCTGGGATAACCAAAGCTCCCAGACCACTCATCTGGCTTCCTTAAAATGACAGCCCCTCGTGGGTGGCAGAGGTAGAGAGAGTACCCCTTTTTCCAACTGCATGAAGGCATGCATTTGCTTGTATTGGGTGGCACTGTGATGAAGGGACTTTGTCCCCAGTTAGGCATGAAGCGAGTCACAAGGCTAGTACCCAGGTTGACGCTGCTCTTATAAAAAAAATATCAGGAGTGTCCAACACACAGTCCTGGGCCATACCAAATTGTAAACTTACTGGAAACATTAGATTTTTGGGGGATATATATCATGTACACCCATACATGACTACATGGTTCATGTATGTGAACTTTGTAGATGATACTGTGGCTTCAGAGAAACCACACGTAGGACCACTCTGCTGGTGCCCTGGGAATGTGCCGTTTAGACACCAGTGCTCTGTATCAAGGTGTAAGCCTCATGCCCGCAGGGCTAGAAGAGGGCTTGCTATGTTTCAGAGTCTGCTGTCTCTGCCCTGTGGGTGGAGCCCATGAAAGTCTCTCTCCTGTGCCCACATAACTGACAGTGCAAAGAATTGCCTACAAAATAGGAATGGCAGGGCTGGAGAGACGGCTCAGCCATTAAAGGCTAGGCTCACGACCAAATATATAAAACAGGAAGGGCCCCTTCTCTAGATGGGTGGTTCTCAACCTTCCTAATACAGTTCCTCATGCTGTGGTGACCCAAACCATAACATTGTTTTTGCTGCTACTTCACAACAGTACTTTTGCATTGTGTAATGCAATGTAGTATCTGTATTTTCTGATGGCTTTAGGCCAACCCCTGTGAAAGGTTGTTTGACCCCCCTCCCTCCACAAAGGGGTTAAGACCCACAGGTTGAGAACCACTGCTCTAGACTTTGAGGAAACCTATCTAGTTGGGGTATGACCCTTGAGGAGCTCGTTGGATGTGATAAGCTGCAGAGACCAGAGAACCAAGGGGGGAGTGTTCATACCTGGAGAAAGTGGGGTGCTCTCTGAGTGAGTCTACACTGGGACAGAGGGATCCCGGCTCAGAGTGGCAGGGTCTTAGGTAGTCAGCTGGTAGGAATCAAGATTTCTTGTCACTCAAGAGTTAACCAGAGATCATTTTCAAAAATGTCTAGACATTTCTATGGACACAACATGGTATCTGAGCTATCCCCAGGTATGGATGCCCTCATGTATCCTGGATACATCTGCTCACTGCCTCAGAGGATGACTCCTGCAGAGATTGTGTTGGGAGACATCAGAGCACCTCTGGCATGTATTTAAAATCTGGCTGATGGGTTCAATCTCCTGGTGATTTAAACTCTAACCAGCAAGTTCTTTGTTCCTTAAGTACCTACCAAAAACACAGCTATCTTTTCCATCCATTTACAAGGGTAACTTACAAAAGAGGGAAGGCAGGTGGCAAAGAGAGGCCAAGCCTTCCCTCAGGGGCCCAGGCAGGATTGGGATAGTGTGTAGGTGGACATCAGAGCCTCTGTGGGTTTAAAGGTGTCTGCCATTCGCTGCTGACTTCCGGGGGGAGGGGACAAGCCAAGGTGGACCAGACCTAGTATGGGACAAGAACAGCCCAATATTACACCCAGGGGAGGGTGAGGCCACAGAGAGCAGCTTCCAGTGCTGTGCTGGGCTCTCCTGCTTCCCCAGGAGAAACGAGCCAAGCCTCCCTCAGTCACCATCGTCTCTCTGTCGACAGGCTGCCCCACCCCAGTCCTGCAAAGGATTCTGGGAGGAGAGAGGCCAGAAGAGAGACAAAACATCTTCCATTTTAACACAGCAGTTAGTGTTTGTTTTCCTGCCTCTGAAGGGAACAAAAAGCTACATGTATTTTTTTAATTGTCTAATTTTTTTGACAGAAGTAGTAATTACACCATGCTAATTTAGTTTTAGGGATAAAGCAAAGGAAGTGATTCTGTATAGTAATGGAAGCATGGTTTTAGAAACGTAGGCCTATATTACCAAATGAATTGTGAAACTCATGAGGAAAAAAAATACTTAGATAAAAACAGAGAACTTTTTACTTTCAGCCTATAGCTTCCTAGACATGAGAGATGCCCAGGGCCTTTAAGGAACATTGGCACATTAAAGACCAAAGAAAACTAGCATGAGGGATGCCCTACATACCAAAAGCATAATTTTCCATCTCTAACTGCAGTTGTAAGATGTTTTATAGCTTCCATCAGATTTTGAAGTATGGGGCATGCAGCTGGGATGTTCTCTGGAAGCTATACGAGGCCCAGAGGATCAAAACATCACTGTGGACCCTCAGAGGCTGTATCTTGCACCTTGACAATCTAAAACATAGCATTTGGGCTTTTTTTTTTTTCAGGGGAAAAAAATCGGGACATTCAGTAAGGGTAGGCATTAGACTATGATTTTGGAAACTTCTGGGTAAATTAAATATTCCATGGGGTTTTGACCCAAGAAATAGGATCCACACACCTCCACTAAGAGTGAAGTCACACTTGTGCCACTGTGCCAGGCTGGCCAATCAGGTGTACTAGCTAACTTGGGAGGGGTGATGGGTACCTTTTGTCCCAGCTCTGCTACATCCTGAAGCTAAGCTAGATCCATTTGATGTCAATTGCTGTTGAACTGAGCATCATTCATACATGACAGAGCAGCTAGGAGGCTCACAGGAAGACAGAAGCATTCAGAGCTAGTATGTGTCTGTGAAACTGATGTGTGTGCATGTGTACGTGTGTGCGTGTGTGCATGCATGCACAGACACCAACTCTGAAGCCTCTTGCAGCTGAGCTTGTACCTAGGCACCTTCAGGCTCCTTCCCTTGGGCTTAGCTATTCTTTTTAAGGGAAATCCCGCCGTCTTGCTCTGAAGGTCACTGAGCTTATCCGGAGCTACTAACACTGACGTGAACCCGGCATTGAAGGCTGGTAATGGGAGTGAGGTCTCATCATAGTTCTGCTTAGGAAACACAAGCTTGAATACTTTGTCCCTTGAAATTCAGAGAACATCACTATAGATTCCATCATGGGCCCAGAAGGACTCAGCTGCTGGATTTATAGAAACCACCAAGGTTAATATCACTAAAAATTCTCTCATTACCCTGGGTCATCCCCATGCCTTCTACTGTGCAAAATATCTCAGTATTCAAAGTGCATCAGGTCTGATAGACTTTTGCAATAGAAACATTAAAAAAATAAAAACCTCACTATATAAAATTAATTTGTGCTTTCTCATTAGAACCCAGGAATGGTTTATAGTCAGGAAACTGTTACAGAGATCTCAGAGCTATGAAGCAATCAGACATTGTTTCATATTTGCCTGTGCTTGGGTCCATCTCCCATCCCTGGCCTTGTACGTGGAGCAAACTCTGAAGTTGAAAAAAAACTTAGCTCTAAAAATTCTAAGGTACGTTTTTCAGACTTGGCTTCAGCTAACCAGGAGAGTGATTTGTAGGCACTCTCTTCTCTCCATAACTATCACTTCTGCAATTGGTTGGTCTCTCGGTGGGGTGGTTTTGAAAGGAGAGCATTAACAGAGAAGTTACAAACCTGAAGGGGAGGTGCATGGCATCCTAAGGTCTGAAATGTGTAGCTCGACTACGTTCCCCACTGTGTCTCTGAGTTAGCACCTGTTTCTGTGTGGTCGTCCACCTTTTTCTATTCCAAACCAAACTGTCCCGGAGCCAGCACAAGATGAGACACAAAGGATTCATTTTTTTTCTCCAAGGGTAACCTTTTTGGCCCCTGTCAATGATCCTTTTGTGCGGAATGATATTCTTCAAGTATGATGATCTATATGTGACGCTTTATTTTTAATATTTCATTGCTCATTTTCTGAATGTGTCGATAAAAAGGATAACAGTGTTCGCTTGCTTTTCTCTCTTCTACTGGGAAATAATGCTTCCACTCTTCCTATTTTTTCTATAACTGCAGTGGTCTCAATCCCCTGCAGGTGAATGCCTTGTCTCTTTCAAGTTTCCAGCGTTCCCAGCAGACTTGGATACGCATGGTGACACGATCTGCCTTCTCAGGCCCAGAGGTGACAATTGCCAATCACCATCCTATTTTGCATTCATCTAGGACACCTCATGTCCATTGACTGACTCATTTCTGAGGCTGCCCATGGAAAAGAAAGACAAACGGCACACACAAGTCCTGTTGACTAAAGTGTGCAAGAGAGAAGAGACATGATGCGTCCCTGCAGATGGCAGGCAAGAGTCTGTGGAGCTGCTCAAAAAATGCCTGGACCCTGCCTTGCAGGGACACATGCCCAGCAGCCTGGACCATGGCCACACAGAGACCATGCTGGCCCCTCCTTCCGGCTCATGAAAGAATGGACAGCGGCTGCCAAGGCAGGAGAGACCTGTGTGGAGAAGGAGAGAGAGAGGACGCCAGCATCATGGTGGCCACAGCAGTTTCCCAGGCAACAGCTCAGCTTTAGTCGTCTTCTCGGCACATGGGCAAGTTGACGAAGGTAAAGACATTAAACTCTATCATTATGGAGAAGCACAGGAAGACAGCATAGAGGACCAGCACGTAGATGCCCAGCTTCCGGTCCAGGCGCCATTTGTTGAGGTGGATGCCAAGGACCTGGAAGGAGACAGGTGGAGAGCTGGGCTTGGTGGGGCTTAGCAACCCAAAGGCCCTTTTAACCAAACATGAGTGTGGACTCCAGGACTTTTTAGAAGATGTAGTCAAGGTTCTGGTCTAGTTGACACTAGACTCTGAGACCTGTCCCATGACATGGTTGAATCCACAGCAGCCGTTCTCACACACTGGCCCTCCCTGAGGAGACAGGCCACTTCCTCAAGGTACAGCATGTCCTCATCATTGCCCTTCTCTAAGGAAACCAGATCTTCCCCTTTGCCTCAGAACTTGGCATCATAATTGTTTCTCCAAAGCATATTTTCCAGGCTCACTCGAGCCATTCTGGGTGAACTTCTGCTTCCCCCACTTACTGTACATATGTTGGGGGAACAGGATCCCCCCCTTACTCTTATCCCTGAATCAAAGCTTTTCTGGGTTGGACCACAGCTCTCCTTCTCGACACAGAGCACAGGACTCTGTAAAGACAGAGAAACCTGGCTTCAAACCACATTTTTTGCCACTTGCTAATTCCATGACCTTGTGCAAATTGCTTAACTCCTGAGCCTCGATTTCTCCCACAAAACGGGAATAATAGTATCTTCCTCATTGGGGTGGGAGGAACTGAATAAACCGCCGATATAAAGTTCATGGCATAGGTCTGGGCATGAGAACCGGGAAGACCTCTCTATTGTTACATGCTGTGCTGAGGACTGTCATGTTCCCTGTTTGTCAGCTCAGCAGCCAAGATGAGTTTCTCTTTCACTGGACCAGTCAGAAAGAAGTGAAACACAATCACACAGCAGGACAACCCTAGTGACATCTTTGTGTGTCTGTGTGTGCACATGTATTGGTGCATGTGGGTGCATGTAGAGGCCAGAGGACAATCTTGGCTGTCATTCCTCAAATGTTATTCACCTTCTTTTTGAAATAGACTCTCTCACTGAACATTCTAATTTGGCTAGGTTAGGTGGCCAGAGAGCCCCTGAGGACATGCCTGTCTCCACTTTCCTGGGACTTGAATTACAAGTATGCATCACTATGAACCTTCATTTTAATAACATGGGTTCTGGGACTCAAACTCAGGTCCTTGGCCTTAACTGACCAAGCTCATCTCCCAGGTCCCCTGGTGACATCTTTTTTGCCCAGGATGAAGTACCATGGTGGCTGCAGTTGCTCTTGGCAAAAGAAGGGAGGGAGGGAACAAGGAAAGGAAGGAAGGAAGGGTAGGTTTTGGGTATCTTTGAATATATACATCTCCTTGGCTTTGTCCATCACTGCAGAGGGCAAGTAACAGGAGATGTGCACAGCCTGGCTGAACGGATGAAACGAATTATGCATGATGCTCCCAGCCTGAAATGGTAAAACTCACAGTGAGAGCGACGGAGCCCAGCAGCAGCACCACGGAATAGACCAGACCCCGGCTGTTGATCTTCACCTGCAAAGTGAAACACACAGGACACAAAGCTTGAGTTGCTTGGTCAGTCTAGTCCAAAGGCTCAGCACTCTTCAAATATTCATTCTCTCATTTGAGAAACACAGGGATCCCTCTGGTGAGCATGTAGGAATGGTCAGGACCCAACATGGGGGAGCCATCGGTTCATGTCTGTACTTGGTTCATGAGGAAGTGGCCTAGGATGGGGTAGGTGCTGGTGGGCTTAGGCAAGAGGAGAGGAAGAGACACTGATGAGTATGTAGCAAGCACGGGCTCCCTCCTGCAGACAAGACTAGACTGTTCTAGAAGTCATCAAAGAAAGTAAGTGCTAAGGACAAAGGATAGCACATCTCCCCAGAACTCCAAGAACTGGGTGGGCAACATTCTTCCCTCTGAAACATACCTGTGCCCTTCTTTAGGAAGTGCTAGGACTTACTGTGGATCCATAATTAATGACCATGGTCTGCAGGCCCCACGGGATGCCAAGCCCCACCAGGATGTCAAACACGTTGCTTCCGATGGTGTTTGAGACTGCCATGTCTCCAAGTCCTGGGGGATAAGCAACACATTCCTTCTATCAGGAGATGGTCTCAGAGGACCCCTACTTCCTCTCTGGACTCCTCCATCAGTGCTGTTCAAAGGAAGGAGATCCTTCATGGACTCCATGATGGGGGATGTCCTTCTGTATGCTGTGACTATATGTTTCTCCTATTGGTTGATGAATAAAGCTGTTTTAGCCAATGGACAGGCAGGAAGTATAGGTGGGGCTGACATACTAGGAGAATGCTGAGAGGAGGAACTCAGAGAGTGAGTTGCCAGCCAGAGAGATGCCATGTAGCTGACAAGGAACAAAGAGGCCAGGGCATCACCTGTAAGCCAAGACTACATGGTGACACAAAGGTTCCTCCATTATTCTCCCGTCAGGTTGGTTAGCTGTCATTCTCAAGGCCCTACCACAGGCTCTGCCTCATTTAGTTCCCTCATCTATGCTGAGTTTGGGTGGGACTATCACTCTCACATGTGACCAGGTGACCAAGGGCTAATACTTTGCTAGAGATCCAGTCTCGGGATACTGGTCTAGCATACTTCAACCAAGCCATGATGCATATTTGAGCCTAGACAGTGGCATCCATGACCTTATCTGGGAACACATTCCAGTGGTTTCTGAAAAGTGACCTTTCTCTTTAAAAATCAGAGGCCATTGTTCCCCTTCCTGCTCCATTGTCCAAGATCCTGTTTGTCACACAGCCGAGGTACTTCCTCCCTTGAGGTGGGGATCACTAATTAGAACAAGTTTTAAGAAAAGACTCATGTTGGCTAAACCTTGACATTGTAAGCTGGAACTCACAAATGTGAGTGCAGAAGGAACCAGCCTGAAACACGAATGTCTAATAACGTAACATCACTTTGGTAGCTGTGTCTTTCATGAGCAAGTCCATCCAGCATCCAGACCTGCCTCCTCATTAGCCTTCAGTGTGCCAGGCCACTCCTTGTCCCTCTTTCTCACTGCTGTCCTCTGGTGACCCCCAGCACATGCCTCTTCCTCCTTGGTATGAAAAAGTTCAGAATCTTGGCAGCTTAGGGCTTTGAGATGTGGATCTCCACAACCCTGGTCTACTAGGCTCTTAGCATGTAGCAACTTGAAGGAATATACAGTGATGATTTGGGACCAGCTACTTTTACCTGGTGAGGACAGGCTAAAGGTGTTGGAATTTAGAGGGTGGATGAGTACATCTCAGGGCACTTCTCTGAGCTGCACAGGTGGCTGGGAGCCTTAGGGCTGTGTGACACACACCTTAATGAGCACACAAGTCACCAGGGACTTTTGTAACATGTAGGGCCTGATTGAGCAGGGTCAGTGCAGGGCCTGAGGGTCTGTATATATTGTGAGCACCCCAGTCAATACCTGCATGGCTATGCTTTGACCTGCAGGGAGCTTGTAAGGAGGCCTGGTGCAGAAGTTCCTGTCAGAGGACCTGTGTGACCTCCCAGTTAACGCAGATGAACGGGCCCTTTGTCACATAGAAGCTGCTAACCCTGACCTTGTCATTGGGTTCTGTAGATCACATCGCTGCTACCTTATGACAGCTTTGCACCCCAAGCCCTGGCCCCCTTCACACTTCTTCCAGTATAGCTAGTGTGAGACAGTGTCCTAGTATAGGACTCTGCTTGTCCCTTGTTCCTAAACAAGACCTTTCATTCATTGACTTGGGACCCCCAAATTGCAATACTTCCTACTGGCCAGTGTTTAAACCAAGCATCCTTTTGTCCTGTTGTCTTTCCCTGGTGCCCACCCAGGGGTGACTTTTGTCACCTGTGTACTATGGACCATACATGAGACCAACTTTTCCCAGGTTCACGTGACTGAGTGCCAGCTAGGCCCCATATTCCTTATCGTTCTTTGCACTCACTATATTTGTGTAAGGAGCTGCCCACTCCCCACTCCAATTCATGTCTACCCAAAGCTTCTGTGGGTGACTGAATAATTTAAGATTTTGTTTTGTTTCTCGAGACAGGGTTTCTCTGTGGCTTTGGAGGCTGTCCTGGAACCAGCTCTTGTAGACCAGGCTGGTCTTAAACTCACAGAGATCTGTCTGCCTCTGCCTCCCGAGTGCAGGGATTAAAGGCATGCACTACCACTGCCTGGCTGAATTTAGGATTTTTACAGATGCCATTAAATAAAGTTATACTGAATTAAACGGACTCTAATCTAGTGACAGCCGGTCCTATAAGAAGAAAGCGAGGCTGCAGAAACACAGGGAGACACATGGCCTGAGACAACAGAAGCAGAGCCTAAAGGGGTACAGATACAGGCTGAATAAGGCAAAGAGCTGCAGTTCACAGGGGAGCCAAGCAGGCTCTTCCTGGGACGTGAAGAGCAGGCAGTCCCACAGGCCCCAGGTTTAGACTTTGAGTAAGGTTCAGTTCAGTTGTGTTGATCCGCCCTAGGAAGCAAACATTCTAACATCAAAGGTCACCCAATTAAGTTCCATTCCCCTCAGCTGCTGCCTCCAATGGCCTCTAATTCTCTCTGTCAGGCACCTGACTACCTGATGCTCTGACACGGTCTTCTCTCCATGCTGTCTTCCCAACCTTTGCATCTCTTGAAGGAATGTGTCTTTACTTCCAGAGTCAACCTTTCTCCCTGGTGCTGCCCTCTTCTCTTGTTTCCCGAGGGTCATCTTGCTGTTTGGCCTTGCCCTCCCATGGACTTTCAAACTCTTGCTTCCCAGGAAGATATGTGCTAGCCCACTCTGGGATGCTGTCTCCTTGGTAGAATGGAACAGAAAATGAAACGCCAGGCTTAGCAGCCCTTTGGTTTTGCCATCAAGGACCGTGAACCACTCTCCATTTTGCTCAACCTGGGTAATTTCATAAACCCAAAAGAAAACCAATATACAAAGCAAAGCGCTTTACATCTTCTAGAATTCAGGAATAGGAAAGAGCCATTGTCTAGGATTTTCATGATGCCTGCCTGAGACAGACATGGTTCTCATTTGTTGGTTGTGGCTTGAATGTACAATGTTTCCAACAAGCTCATGCTCTGAACACTTGTTCCCCGGATGGTGGTCCTATATGGAGACATGTGGAGCCATTGGGAAGTGGAGTCTAACTTGTGGAAGTAGGTTACTACTTCCAGCCCCTGCTTCCGATCCCACCACTCACCCCTGCCTCTTGGTTACTACTGGCTCTAACATCCCCCTCCCCACCAGTGTAGCTGAAATGCAGGAGGAAGTGATGGGTGGATTCCATGATGCAGCTCCCATGAGGTTGTCATCCATGGTAGAGTGGGACTTTGTAGTAATGCAGCTGTCTGGAGGTTACCCATGTCCTATAGGTAGCCCCTCCCTCACCTATGCTTTGTAAGTAATGCCAGTGAACTCTCTGGTATCCCAAGCTAGACCTCGATGGAATCATTTCTTTGCTCTGTCATCAGTGCCTTATATACTATGAAGAGATATTTGTTTATGTCCCCTCAGGAATAGTGACACAACAATAGTAGTCTTCCCACAAGGGAATCTAATATATGACAAATTCTAGGTGCCATGGTCTCCCTCTGAGCAGGACTTGACAGCTGCCACTTGCCATAACTCAGTCAGCCAAGATGGGAAGCTTGCCAGGGGGCACAGGCGGCTAAGACTCTATCCTTACCTTGTCTTGCCACAATTAAGCTGGCCATGCAGTCTGGAACACTTGTGCCCGCTGCCAGGAAGGTGATGCCCATGATGACATCAGGGATCCCAAGCGTGTATCCAATAATAGTCACCTGCAGAAGAGGTCAGAGTCAGAGATCGGGTGAACTCACAATGAAAAAGCCCTGGAAACGCTCCTTACCCGGTGTGCTTTTAAATTAAACGTGGCATTGTTTTAATTAGGAGAAAAATCTTGAATATGGCTTATTTTTAAAGTTGTTTTGGGGGGGAAGGTCCCATGTAGCCTAGGCTGGTCTTGAAAATGCTCTTTAGCTAAGGGTGACTTTGAGTCTTTCTGCTTCCATCTACCTCCTAAAAGCTGGGATTACAGGCATGTAGCAGCACACCTGGTTTATGATGTGCTGGGGACTGAACCCAGGGCTTGATGCATGCCAGGTAAGCACCCTACCAATGGAGCTACAGCTTCTTATGGGAAAAAAAGTGTTTTTTTTTTTTTGAGACAGAATCTTGGCTAGCCTGGACCTGTACAGACTAGGCTGGCCTCAAACTCAGATTCTCCTGTCTCTGACTCCCCAGTGCTGGGATTAAAGGCCTGTGCATTACAACGCATCCCTGGTTAATATTTCAATGGCTTCTTGTTGAATTTCTATTAAGGACTTCTTGTATACCAGGCAGTCTACAAAGGTATCTTACTCCCTGTCTTAGTCAGTGTTCTATTGCTATGAAGAGGCACCATGACCATGACAACTCTTATAAAGAGAAACTTTTCACTGGATGGCTTGGCTCACTTATAGTTCAGAGGTTCAGCTCATTATTATCAACATCATGGTGGCACATTGCAGCATTCAGGCAGACGTGGTGCTGGAGAGGTAGCTGAGAGTTCTATAACTTTCCCAGGCAACAGGAAGTGATACGTCTCACTGAGTGTGGCTGGAGCATATATAGGAACTCAAAGCCCACCTTCACAGTGACACACTTCCTCTAACAAGGCCACACCTCCTGATAGTGCCACTCCCTTTCAAACCACCACACTTTAATAATCTTATCTGTTCTATCATTTGCTGCCACTGGTGAGGAGGACACTACTGTTATGCCAAATGAGAGCCAGAGGGGCTAAGTACCAATGCCCATGGGCACCAGCTGCTCTCAATGGAGCATGGACTCCCAAGCAAATGCTTCCATCTCCTTCCCAGCTACATGTCTGTACGTCAATCTCTGAGTTGTCGTGTCTCTGTACGTCAATCTCTGAGTTGTCGTGTCTTTATTTCTTTAGAAGACACTCCAAGACACAGATCAACTGGATCAAATGTTTCACTGGCCGGTGAGTGCCCTCTGAGATAAAGACACTGGGGAGCTTGCTGGAGCCATTAGCAGCAGAGTTGGGGCAGCCAGATAGAAAGTTTTAGAGGCCTTTGGACCACCCTGGCTTACCCCCTTGGTTGCAGTTTGCCTCTTTCTAGAGATCACCAACAGTGGTGTCCCTCAGAACTGATCATGTCTCAGTTGTGATAGTTTTAATTGTCAACTTGACAGAAGTTAGAGTTATCAGAAAGGAAGAAAAATCTATTGAGAAAAGGTGTCCATAACATCCAGCTGTAGGGCATTTTCTTAATTAGTGATTAATAGGCAAGGGCCCATCCCATCGTGGGTGGAGCCATCCCTGGGCTGGTGGTCCTGGGTTCTGTAACGAACCAGGCTGATCAAGCATGAGGAGCAAGCCAGTAAGTAGCTCTCCTCCATGGCCTCTGCTTCAGCTCCTGCCTCCAGGTTCCTGCCCAGTTTGAGTTCCTATCCTGCCTTCCTTCAATGATGAACCGTGATACGGAAGCATAAGCCAACTAAGCTCTTTCCTTCCCGATTTCCTTTGGTCACGGTTCTTCATTATAACAATAGAAACCCTGAGATAACCTTAGGATTACCTGTGAAGACAGGATCAGTGAGGAGTTGTCTAGATGAGATTGGCTTGTGGGCATGTATGTGGGGGATTGTTTAATTTTGTTAATTGACATGGGAAGAGTCGGCCCACTATGGGCAGCATCATCCCTTGGCTTTGGGTCCTGAACTGAAAAAGACTGGAGAAAGTGAGCTGAGCCCTGAGCACCCAGGCATTCTCTTCTCTCTCTGTTCTTGAGTGTGGATGTGATATGACTAGTGAGTGGTTTTAAGCTCCTTTGGGTTGCTTTCTGCCCATGTTTTTTTTTTTTTTTTTAACAGCAACAGTACACTAGTTAATGGTTCCAGTCCCAGCAACTGCTGTATGACTTTGGACAATCAGGCTTGCTGCTCCGAGCCACAGCTCTCTCATGGGCTCAGTGGTAAGGATGAAATGAGGAAGTGTAAGGTGAATACCTGGCCAGGGCCACATGGTCATGGCGCAATGTTTCCCTTTATTTCAATCATTTGTTTGTACTCAACGGGGACAAGAAAACGAGAGCAATCAGATTTCAGGGTTCTGAGGGCCCCAGACTAAAGGTGTTTCCCAAGTGCAGGCTCAGCCGATATGTGTGGATTACAGAAACAGCCCTGGGAGAAGAACAACAGATGAGTTTGAACATACTGCCCACATGGAGAGAGGGTCCAACAAGCTACCATGCACCCCTGCTCTTGAATGGGGACAGACAGACAGACAGACAGACAGACAGACACACCTCATCTTCTCAGACTGTGGCACACTGCTAACATGCATCGACTTGGAAGGAGGGATCAGGACAGAGATAAAAGAGCAACTGATCCACCATCACTAAATCCGCACTGTTGATCAAAGCCACCGGCTGTGACATATGAGTTTTGAATCAGTGACACTGGACACCTTAAGGGCAGTAACTGAACTACTGTGGAGTTGCTAGAACTGATTCTCCTTAAACTACTGAACCACAGCCTAAGAAACAGCAAGGCGGGGAGAAGATGGGCACAACTTGTAGGTATGCCCACACACTTCAGGGTCTTGGGCCTTATTCTACGCTGGACTCAAACCCCAGCGCTCCAAGCTTCCAGATATGTAGACTTTGAATGGAGGCAGAGCCGTGCTCCCAGCTTCTCTTTGTTCCTCAGTGACCCCAATTGTGCTTTAGAAAGCACAGTCCATTCGAAGGGCCCTCTACTTGACATTGACAGTGCTTGTTTTTTTTATTAAAAATTATTTTTTGAGATAAGATTTCTCTGTAGCCTGACCCTCCTGGAACTTGCTCTGTAGACTAGGCTGGCCTAGAACTAACAGATATCAGCCTGCCTCTGCCTCCCAAGAGCTAGGATTAAAGGTGTGCACCTCTAACATTTGCATTTGGGTCTTCTTCACCCCTTGGAGGTGACAGACAGTCTTAAAGGTGATGGGATAGTCCGGTAGCTTTTTCTCCTTGGTGCCTCATTAGGACAAATGGAAGTAAGCACTGGTCACACCTTAGAGATCAAGGTGAACTCAGAGACACTATCTTTTTTACCTGCTTTTATCATTAAGATGGTTTTATTTCCCCAAACCGAGGCCATCAAAGTCATACCACAGGTCAGATCAGCCCAGCAAGGTGGCTCTCATGACCCCAGTCCAACCTAGCCTAGGACTCTGTTTTTCCAAACAAAAGCAGGATTTGTAAATGAAGATGCTGAAGGTGGGAGTGTCCCATCTCATTGCCACTAGAGCACAGTGAACAGCACTGACATTTTCCCTAAGGAGAGAAGAAAGAATTTCACAAATTCTTTAATTTGGCCTTCTTAGTTCCCATGCCTACTCAAATGTCACAAAATACTTTATTTTTTTAACTTGTTATGTTTTGGGAATATGATTTAATAAGTAACATCACTGGTGCCTTTAAAATGTAAAGAAGGCTGACTTTTCTATTCAGGGAAAGTAAGAAGTGAGATTCAATTATTTTAAGGTATGGTTGTTATTGTCTTTGAGAGTCATCTTCTTCTAGGGGTGTGGGTAGAAACTATTTCAGGCTCTTTTCTCATACCAACACAAGAAAACAAGCTCCCAAACAAACAAACTAACTAAAAATATTCCATGTGCTATTCAGGACACATATGGGCTCTTCACACGAAAGGCTGGGAAGAAGGGAAATGAGATGGAGGCTGGTTGGGGAGCAGGTGTTTAACTATGGGCCAACAAGCTTGAGAGGTGATAGCGGCCACCCCAGCTTCACAGAGGGGCTCATGTTGGCTCCCTGAGTTGGGGCAGTGAGTCACTTGCTCAATTGTAATGGTCTTAAGAGAAAGGACTATTCTTTTGGGCATGGTATGTGGCTCAGTATCAAACACTTGCCTAGTATATGCAAGGCCCTATGTGACTTCCTACAGCCCATCCTTCCTGTTAACCTGCATCCTTCCTCTAGGGTGAAGGGAAAGAGGCCCCTGGGCCCACAGAGGTCTCACCAGTCAAGCCCTGCTCACTCACCTTCCCTGATGATGACCTCTGTGTTAGGAGGAGAAGGAAATGATTTAACGAGGGCCATGCAGCTGACGGATGAGCGTCACAATGAATGGGAATAAGCCATATGGCAGCCATGGTCCCTCTTATTTCTCCTAAGCCCCTGCAGGAAATGGGGGTTTTAGAATGCTATCATTAGCCCCAGCTATTCATATAATTGTGGGTTCTCTATGCCTCGGTTTCTCCACCAATAAAATGGGGGCACTAAAATATTTATTTCATGGGGATGTTATGAGGTCAAAATGGGTCTTCTATAAAATTGTCCTGTGTGTCTGGCACACAGAAAAGGGGTCCACAGGTGGGACCGAAGTCTAGAAGAGGTTGATTAGGGGCTGTCACTCACCAGCCACACCATGAGGTAGGAGAACACGGCGATCCACAGCGTGGCCGTGACGAAGGTGACCATGAAGAACTTCTCCCAGCGGGGCTTGCTGCAGTTGGGGATGGTGACACAGAGGAGGAAGATGAGGGGCCAAGTGAACACCCACTTAGCCTTGTCGCCTTTTGCCTCTGCAAAGGGGTATGGGATAGAGCAAAGGGTGGACAGAAAGACATTGGGTTACGTGGTTGCTTGCCCACTCCTGGTTTATTGTTTTCAAGTGAAACTTGGTGTGACTCCAAGTAACTGAGGCCACAGAACTGTCCTCCATCAGGTCATCTGGAAGTAGCAGGAAGACTCAGTGCTTGTTGGCTGACCAGCATTAGTCCATTGTAATCCTTGATTGACCAGACAAGGAAGGCAAACCAAGAGCAGGGATGACACTGATTCAGGGGAGCTGGGATATGGGTTCTGGAATCAGACAGCTGGAGGAATCCCATCAGTTCTGCTTGTCCCTCTGGGGATAAGGGTCAAACTAGGACAATGCAATAGAGTAGCTGGCCTGTGGAGTGGGGCAAGCATGGCGCTGAGCGCTTTGCTTCTCGCTGCTCTCGTCTGCTCATAAGAACATTCCCGTTGTCTTGGTTGTTGCAGGAATGGTGTGACGTGGAGTGTGGGAAGCACCAGGCACGCAGCCCAGCACAGAGGAGGAGGGAGCAGAAGCCGGAAGGCACACTGAGAACTCGTGCGCGAGACCCCAAAGCTGATGGGAAGCACCAGTGTGTGCATGCAAGAAGGGCACACGTTGGGGCCGGTGAGATGGCTCTGTGGATAAAGTCTCTGTTGACTTATTACACAACTGACTCCTAAAAATTGTCCTCGAACCTCCATGCACCACACATGTGCACAGACGATAACACAAAATATTTTACTACACTTACACATTTCTGTATATCTTTATTTTGTGTGGGTGCGTGGGGATGTGTATCACGGTGCTGGTGTGTGTAGGTCAGAGGACAGCCTGTGGGAGTCGATTCTCCTCCTACCATGTGGGTCTGGGTCACTGACCTCAGGTCATCAGGCTTGATGTCAAGAGCTGTTACCCTAGGAGCCATGCCATTGGTCCTCAAATATTTTAAAAACAAAGTACACATATTCCCCTTGAATACACACAAACAGTTCTCTAGAATGGGCTGAGTGTGTAGCTGTAAAACAAGGCCCAGTGGGTTTAGGACTGATATCAGGCGGTGTGTGCTTGTCAACCTCAAAGGAATGGAATTAGAACTCAATATTGAGAGGAAAGCTGGAAGATTGGCAAACACGTGGAAATCGCATAGCATAGTCCTAAGTAACCAACAGGTCAGAGAAGATATCACTAGGGAAATTAGGAAATAATGGAGGAAACAGAAAGCAAAATGTCAAAACTCGCAGGATGTGGTTGAGAGAGGCTCGCTCTATCTCCCATTTCTAACTGTAAATGCCCAGGTTGAAATGGGAAGCATTTAAAACCCAGGAGCTTATATTCCTCCCAAGACAAGACAAAGAGAGGATTAAGTCAAAGAATGCAAAAGGAAAGAGTGACCCATGGGGAATTCCTGGGGCCTGGGGCTAGACAGACTAGCTAAACTGGAGGACCTGGAATTGGCCTCTGGCTTACACACACACACACACACACACACACACACACACACACACACACACACACTTCCTACACACATGAGCAACATACAAGAGAAAAGGGGTTTGAATAGACCATTCTCCAATGACACATACAAATAGCAGTTAAACCTATTTAAAAATGCCCAACACACAAAATAAAAAAATACATACATAAATGTAATATTCTTTAGTCTTTAAGAAAATACAATTAAAATTATTTCATACCCATAACTATGACTACAGTAAAAAGACATAACAAATATTGTCAAAGATATAGAAAAGTACAAACCCACACATACTGGAGGAGTGAATACAAAATATATAAACTCCTTAGAAATCAGTCCAACAGTTCTCTTAAGGAGTTCAACAGAGCTGGGTAGTGGTGGTGTACACCTTTAATCCCAGCATTCGGGAGGCAGAGGCAGGCAAATCTCTGTGAGTTCAAGGCCAGCCTGGTCTACAGAGTGAGTTCCAGGACAGCCAGAGCTACACAAAGAAACCCTGTGTCAAAAAAACAAAAATTAAAAAAAAATAAAGGTGTTCACCTGAGAGAGATGAAGATAAACGTTATCACAAAAACTCAAATGCTCACATGGTTACTCCCAAATGGAAACAACCCAACTAAAACTCCAGTGAGGAAAGCACGAGCCAGCTATGGCATGTATGTCCTTCAGGGGAAGGACTGAAACACTGAGGCATGCATGTCTCTGCAGGGAGGAGTGCTAAAATGATTATGACAAGGAGGGAAGCCAGACACAAAAGCCACATAGCGCTAGTCTCCATCCAGATGATGTCTGGAACAGAACAATCCAGAAACAGAAAGGAGCTCAGTGGTTACCAGGGAGGGAGACAGCACTGGGAAGTCTTTACTTGTGGATGGTGTTTAGTGATTTTATCTTTGTTTTATAACAAAAATATGTTGGAATTATATACTGACGATGGTCACATTGTTCTCTGAATACAGAAGGAAAAATGTGCCACAAAGGGTCTATTTTATGGCATATGAGTTATATCTCAGTTTTTTAAATTACAGAGCAGGTTGGAGCACCTCAGTTTCGGAGCTGTGTAGGTGCACTATATTATTTCCTAAACAATTATAATCAAAGTGTGTTTACTTACAAAGACAAAGCAAAACAAAGCAACAATGACAATAGACTAACCTAGGCTGCCTATAACCGAGCAAAGAGAATGTGGTTAGCTTGAGATCAGCAAGTCAGCTGGTTATCCATCCAGATGCTGCAGTCAGGAAAACATCTGTCTCCTAGGTCTTATTCTAAAGAAACATCTCCATACTGGGTATGCCCAGCATAGACAGGAGAATGGTTTCTGTCCCATGGTTTGCCCCAAATTCCAGGCTCCCATCTTGCTAACTACATCCCAACCCTTTTGGGCTGCTGAGGAAGACTGAGGCATTCGAAGACTCCATGCAAAGGGGAATAATTCTCTTCAAGGAACTGTGACCCTGGCCCCCTAAATACCCAGGAGCCTCTCCACAGATAGATACAAAAACTATGGAAGGACACATTTCTTCTCTCATAGACACCAAATCGCAGCAGGCGTTTGTCCTTTTGCTGGTATAGGCTTTGCATATTGTTTTGACATCTGTCATCATCTTGGCCCCACCCAAGCAGTTAGCATCAACACCCACCATTGGTTTCCTAGGAAACTGTCCTCCAGCGGACCCTGTCTCCACTGCTGTGGTTTTTAACAATTGGGTGTTACATACTAGTGGGTTAGAAAAATCACTTTAGTGGAAGTAAATCAGTACTTCCTTAAAAAGAAATAAAAATAATGGGGTTACATACAGTGAAAGCTAAAAACCATTCCATGAAACCAGTGTGTGTGTGTTTGTGCATGTATGCACATATATTTATGTGCATACGTATGTGTTATGGGTCAGAGGTCAACCTTGAGTGTCATTCCTCAGGATTTACCCACCTTGCCTTTTTTCTGACAGGGTTTCTCACTGGGAACTGGGTGCCATTTCCTCCAGGCTCCTTGGCCTTTGAGCCTGTCTCTGGCCTCCCAGCAGGTGGACTGACTACAAGCACCACCAGGAAATAATGCTAAAAAGCTGTGAGGCCACAGGGTGATGGGGGCTTTAGTGGTAGCATTCTTGCCTTCCAAGTGGCAGCCACCTCAATGCCCCTGGAAACCCCTCCTGGTGCCTAGCCCTGCCCTTCCCATGCACCGTTACAGATTGGTGGATATGCCAACACCAAGGAGGTCTCATTTCTTCCCCTAAGCCTCTGATTTCTCTCTTGAAGTAGAACATTACAATTTAATTATGTGACAAGAAGTATTTAAAACGGACTGTAACAAAAACAGATGGCCCATCATGCCAGAGGAAAAGAACAGACGTGGTAGCCGATGAAAACCTCACACTAATTTGGATGGGGCACTAATTAGACACTTCAATTAAGGGGGTGGTTAAGCTATGGTCCTAAGGTGGACTGCACCCTTGGCTGCTGGAGAGAGTTTCTGGGGCCCTGGAGCTAAGTGTCCACATGGCTGAGACAGTGTCACTGCTTCTCAAACTCAGAGCCCCTCAGAAGGCTCTGGCCAGCCTACAGGACTGATGTGTTGGAAGGTCTGGATGAAGGGGCTGAGAACTTGCCTTTTTCAAAACATTGCATCTCCCCTATGTTATTCAAGTTGGCCTCCCAACTTCTGGCTCCTCCCACTCATCCTGAGCCACAGTTACTCATGACTGGGCTAGAGAGACAGCTCATCCGTTAAGAGCACTGGCTGAGCTTCCAGAGGACTCGGGTTTGCTTCCTAGCATCTTCATGGCACCTTACAACTACCTGGAACTCCAGTTCCAGGGGATCTGATGCCTTTTTTTTTTTTTTGGCCTCTCCATGCACTAGGCACACAAGTGGTGCAGACATACATGCAGGTCAAACATCCACACACATTACAAGAAGAGGAGGAGGGGGAGGGGGACAAGGATGAGGGGGACGAGGAAGAACATGAGGAGGAGGAGGAGGAAGAGGAAGAAGAGGCAGAAGAAGGAAGAGGAGATGACAAGAGATATTTCTAATTAGTTCCTAGTGGTTGCTTAGGCTGGACCACAGTTTAAGAACCCCACTGTAGGTCAACCCCATTTGCAAACACTGGAGATATAATCACCACATCAAAACGTCACCCATTTAAAGTGTTTGGTTAGGTGGGCTTTAGTATTTACATAGCCTTAGCTCCAGTATAATAACATTCAAAATGATTTCCACCAGCCTGGGTAGAAACCCATGCCTGTTAATAGTGATTCCTACCTCCTCTAAACTCTGGGAAGCACAGACTTGTTTTCAACGTCTAGGTTTAATTATTCTACACATCTCAGCTAAATGGAATAGAACTGTGTCCCTTTTTGCCTGGGTTTCTTCACTTGGCACAGTGTTCATGTAGCATGCACTAATACTTTATTCCTTTTCACAGATGAGTAATCTTCAACAACATGAATATGTGTTTTTTTTCTTTCAGGGCTGGGTATTGAACCCAATGCCTGGCATCTGCCGGGCAAGCACAGTCAAAT